AATCAACCTCGAAGTGTTTCGTTCACTCATGAAAGATGAGATTGGTCGCAATATACAAAGCGGCTTGATTATCACAGAACAACGTACGGAACAGGCTGAGAATGCCCACACTAAGACATAAAATGAGAGCTTTCAACCACTTCACCTCAAAGACGGTAGAGGCCATGGCATGATATTCAGCTTCAGCAGAGGAATGAGAGACAGTATGTTGCTTCTTAATCTTCTCGAACATATCGTGCTTGTCGCGCCTGGGTGAGTGTGCCTTTTCCTTCTTTGGCTCTGGACAAGCCAACTGCTCCGATTTGGCAAACTCCTCCTCAGTCTCCTTGAGGTTGACATGCTTCTTACACCGCTTTAAAACCTCGTCTTAGGTGCGAGCTGATGTCTTAGCTAGAGAGCATCGACAAGGACCAGCTTGCAAAACTCCTCATCAAATTAATCACCTGCCTTGACCTCGTCTAAGGCTGAAGGAATTTCCACACACTCCTGGTTGTACCAAACCACATACTTCCGCAAGGTATTCTCCCTCCTCTTGTCTCATGGCCATCAACGTCAAGTAAGTTTTCTCTTGGGCGATAGCACTAGTATATTGGTTCAAGAACATGCCCAAAACGTCCTCAAAATCCTTCATTGATCCTGGGGGGAGCTGGTGGAACCTATCTAGTAGCACCCTTTCTCTCACGGTCAAAAGAAACGCCCTACAACTCACGAGGTCGGAATACCCATGCAACACCGCCATGTTTTCGAACGATCTCATATGCCTTGATGGGTCGGTCAACCCTTCGTACGTCAAACTAGTTTCCCGAAAGTTATTCGGCAACAACGCCTCTAAAATTTTCCTCGAGAAAGGGTGTCCTAGAGCTCGACCTGTGGGCTTGCCATCGACCTTTGCCTGCAATTGACGCAACTGCTCTGTCATTTTCTCTACGGCTTGATCCCTTTGAACTCTTTATCCCCTATAACTCAGCTCATCTTCCTCAGTTTCCTGCTGGTGCACTCCTACCACCATGGTCGGCGTAGCTTTGGAATGAGAAGTGTGGTGAGTGGCCTGTTGCACTGCTCCCGCTGCCATAGTGTTGGCAATTATTCGATCTAGCTCCTCCCTCGATAACGTGACCAGTTGTTAGTCTGCTCGCTCCACCTCCGTCCTTGGTGGCCCCATCGCCGGAACCGCCACTCCTCCCAGCTGCGCGCTCACCTCCTGGGTTGGAACACCCGCTCCTTGGGTTGCTCGAGCCTCCTGCGCGCAGCTCGAGCCTGCAACAGCTACAGGGACCGTCGATGAACTCCCTAAGCCAGTAGGACGAAGAATTGGGGTTACCGGAGTCTGAGAAGGTCTGGAGAACCCATAGGAGAGCCAGCTATGAACATACGCGCGGTCGTCCATGCATCATCGAACGCTGGCTCTAAATTCTTTCTGAGATGTTCGCCTGCCATGGATATGGTGAACACAGCTTTTTGAACGAAAGTCCCACAGATGTACGGCGCCAAAATGGTACTCAAAGGACCTTAGACCGGCTTGAATCAACCTAATCTGGAGCTTCCACGCTGGTAAATCGCCTGTGAACCTGAGAAAACTCTCACACCGGAGGGGTTTTCCAGTGAAGAGCCTCCGATGCTTAAATGAATATTTGTAGAAGATGAAGTGTAGAAAAATGTATATAGTATATGTGAATGTAAGTGCTAAAATCGCACATCCCATCCCTATTTATAGGGGTGGGTTACCTGCTTCTAGAAACCTGCCCAGATTGTGTGAGCTGGCTGCCCCCGCTGCCCGAGATGCTCGATAGTACAGGTCGAGTTTCCCACAGGCCATCCTAGGGCCCTAGCTCAACCCATCGTTGCCTTCTTGTACTTTGGATGTTGTCTTAGGTCTTGAGACTCCTGGCTCTTCCTCGACAATGTTCGACCACTATCGGTCTTCCTGCTATCCCGTTCGACTGGTCGGCTCTCTTGGTCTGGTGGACCGGTTTACTGGGTTTATTCTACCAAGTATGGCATCACATATCATGCCATAACTTGCTTAAACTAACGGTCATCCCAATATGAAACCATTTGTTGGTGTTCTTGTTCGCACATCTTCAAAATTTGAATATATATATTATAATGCACACACTTTGGACAATTTCCACTGTCCATTCTTAAAATATTCTCCTTTCTCAAGTTAATTACCATATAATAAATTCATCTAATAAGAGTTCATAATAAAACATGGGTTCTGATATCTTTTTATACGATGTCGTCCCCTTGGAATAATTTCAGGTACTAGATAGAAAGACATGAGGTACTGCATGAAAAATTTGAACTTACGGTACTATTTTGAAAGAAACAGTTACTATATATGGTGAATGAAAACATATACTTTTTCTTTAGCAAATAGGCATCGAGACAGAAATGTAATTTTAACCTTAGAGAGGACTATTTATCTGTTGACTAAGGAGTTGAACGAAATAAAATTCTCTAAAGACTGATTGGATTATTTACTTAGGCCTCGTTTACTTGAAAGGATGAGATAGAATGAGATAAGATGATTTAGTCCCATGAGTCAGCTTTACCTAATCTGTAATTATTTGGACATTTAAGAGCCCAATGGACATTATACATGTAATTTTTTGGATAAAAAATAACATTTTTGTATTGGGATAAAAATATATCACACTCACGATGTAATAGAATTATCCTGTCAGTCATGAGTGTGCACGCCACATAGATGACACATAGGATTATCCCAATCTCGATCTCTGCTAGTAAACAAAGGATAAAATTAGTTAAAGAATGTTATCTCATCTTATGTGGTAAGTAAAAGAGGCCTTAAGATTGGAGATTTTGGTATACGTAGCGCCCATAAATTAATCCGTATAAACACCAATTATTGATGGGAGAAATGATCACTACAACCTTAATTCTCATATAAATTATACATCGTAGAAAAAGATTTATTAGCAGCTTTTATTCCATTATTCGAGAGAAAAGCAAACCCCAGCGGATCTTTAGCCGACCTAAAAAACAATCATGCAATTGGACACTTAAGATGATTAATTGCGATTAGGGAATATAAATCACGTTGGAAAGTCGGATTTACATGTGAGTAAAGTGACTCGGTTGGAGGGAGCAGACCAAGGAAATGTTGGAATGCTGGAAGTTACATATATGCTGTCTAGACTAATTATAGTCTTAATCAGCTTAATCAAGAAAATCCATATAACTAACTGTTTTCTTGATAGGTGGAGCTTTTGTTTATCGGCTGCTTATCTGATAACCTAAGAAACTGATATGTTCCGAAATCCGCAGCAACAAACTTCATTACTATGACGTATTTAACCCCGTTCAAGCATCATCTTCACATCTGTTTTGGGCCTCATCTTTGCTTTTGCGAATGGGTTGCCAACTTGTGACCATAAAGTATTTGGACAACAAAAGGCCCAATTACTACTATAAACACTTGTTAATTGTTACTAGTTATGAGAAAGAAATAGACTAAAAAGATATTTCTGAACTGATTATATTCTAATAATATTACAAATCTCGTGCGATGCACGGGTAAGAAATATTAAATAATATTTATAAGTTATAAATTTGAATTAAAATGTAATACAATTTACTACATTAATTTATTGAAAATACATAAATTAAATTTAACTTGTATGAAAATAAACAAAATATGTCTATCTAAAATATTAAAAATATCTAATGTTATATATTATGTGTAGAAATATTTCTATAAGTCTTGAAATACATGTAAAATCACCTAAAAATTTTTAAAATACTTTTTAAAAATATGTCTAAAAAACCTGAATTGTTCAACGTTATTGTTTATATACAACTTCTAATAAATTTAAATAAAAAATTCTTTAAAACACAAGATCCTTTATAGATAAAATGGTCTCAAAAATGACAGTGTGTTTTCATCTTATATTAAATGTTATTTAATGCACACACGGTCGTTTATAGGCAGGGGCGGACGCACTCACAAGACTGAAGGGCACAAACGTAACTTTTACAAAATGAAAAAAAAAAAAAATTATTTCTGCATATTCTTATATATTATATCACATTTTTTTTCCAAAACAATAGAGGTACTATATTAATAAAACCGCACAAAGTGCGAAAAGAAAGCAACCAAAGGCTGAATAGTACAACCAGAGACTTTAAAACTGGGAGGCAGATCCGAAGATCGCCTAGAACCGTCTAGCAATGCTAGAATAACAATCTCGCAACTATATTAACAACAAACAAAAACTACCACAATTAAAGAAAAAAACCCCAACAGAGTAATACCCGAGTGTCGGATCCCAACAGGATAATAAGGTGACACTCGGGTTCACACAGGTTCACAGAGGCCAACGCCTTAGACCAAAACACAATCCTAAATACAGAACAAACTAAAACACAGACCAAACCAACTAAAACAAAAACATAAAGAAGGACACAGTCTCCCCCGCCAGATACATCTAGATTTACAGTAGACAAACCCACTCCAAAGAAAGCTACAGAGTACGGAAACGACCGCCTGCCACTGCAGAAGGCCTAGCAAGATGGGTACCCGCACCCCAGTACCAACACATTTCGAGATTCTATAAAATACTTCAAGATTCGACAAATGCCTATATCATACTTCAATATTCAACACAACATACTTCAAGATTCAAGATTTTATAAAATAATACATGCATCTTGCTACACAACATACTTCAAAGATTCTATAAGCAGGCGTCTCAATCATCTCGAGCAGTCTCCAGCTCACAAAGGGTTTAGCAGAGATTAGGGGAACGATATAATAGTTAATTTACTTCTGCCACAAAGACAATTGTACAAAGACTTTATTTACTGTTAAATAGATGGGCCTATAAACCGAGCGCGTGAAGAAGTTTTTCTTGGGCCATCAGAAATGTAATTTGGGCCACAAAAATAACATAAAGCCTCCAAGCTGTTCGATAAATTAACCAACTAAAATATCGTGGATTTATGTCCATCCTCGTAACGAACAAGTATCGGTTTCTATGAGGTACAGGCTCCTGAATGAGAAAGCCCTCTCGGCGGTCCGGCGCAAACCGAGGGCAAAGATCCACCCGCCGCCGCCGTCCAGGGTCGTAATCCGAGTAACGAATCATATAGCTCATTTGGGCCACCCGAAAGAGGGCCCGAAACCCCGCCAGCTGCTGTCTTTGCCCCCGTTCCCGGGCCACCATCTGCCCGGAAGGAAATCGGCCTCCGCCCAACACGTCACCGCCATTAGCTGGCTCAAGTATTATTTTGACGACATCCCTCCTCCCATCATTCAGAATCATTTCAATAAAGGCCTCGTAAGTATTTTTTTTTTTTTTTTTTATTTTTTTTGCGTTTTTTCCGTTTTCTGCGGCCTGTGTATATCCTGTCTTTTTTAATGAAGTTACTGTGCTGAAGCTTTGTCTCTTGTTCTCATTTATCTATTTGGAACCTGAGTTATGGTTTTGCTTTGGCCTCTTGATGTGTTTTCTCACTTATGCTGAGTGAAATCGTCCATAGGGTTGTTTTAAAATATTGGTATGCAAGCAACTTTGCAGGACATGAATGCAGTGAACAAATAATGTTTCTGTTGTTAATGGAGCTAATAAATTACTGCAGCCAGACGTCATTTTAAATATGAAGAACGTGAATAGTAACATTTTGTTGGGTTTTAACAGGTACAGATGGAATGTTACCAAGGTCGATCCGCTTCCATGAGGAAGGTAACAATGTTTCCATTGACAACTTTAGTGTTTGCTCAGACTTATTTATTCTCGACTATATTTGAGACGAATGTAATTCTCGTTTCCCAAGTCTCAAATAATGTCCTTTATGGAGTCAGCTCATTAACTTAAAAGCTTTTCCCAAAAAAAAAAAACAAAACAAAGAAGAAGTCTAAATGCTAAATACTGTATCTTGTGAACTGAATTCGAATGCTTACTCCAGTTTCAAATTGCTTCTCTTTACATCTGTAACAGTTATGCGCAGATTAATCCTAGTGATGTCATGGAGGAGGGTGACCGAGTTTATGTCCCGGTATCTGTTGCCGAAAGTAAAATTTCAAAGAGGTTTGATGTTATCCCGAGTGGAACACTGAACCCAAATGCAGATGAAATTGAGTACTTAAGAAGGCTCGTAAAGTACAAGGCATGTTTCTTTTTAGATCATAATTACATGATAAGCTCCACTCCTATAATTATTGTTATGTCTTTCTCGTCCAATTCTGTTACTCTTCATTTGGATTGATGGGTCTTCAAATGTTAATGACTTTCATATTTATATAATAAATGCATTGAGCTTGTGTTTGTACCTCGCGAGTTGTGATTCAGGGGACTTCCAAAACATTGTGCTTCTATAACTATGATTTTGTTGTGTTCCATAACTAATTACTACGGCTGCAATTTCCAGGACTCTGCTATACTTGTACTGAATAAACCTCCCAAACTGCCAGTAAAAGTAAGCGCCATTAAAATTAATATAATTATGGATAGTCTTTTGCCTTTAGATATGCTAACCACATTGAATGTGAGAACAGGGTAGTGTGCCAGTTCACAACAGCATGGATGCTTTGGCAGCTGCCGCATTATCATATGATTACGAAGAGGGTCCAAAGTTGGTAATTTTGTTTCTTTTCCATCTTTCGGTTGCTTTTTTTTTTTTTTTTTTTTTCTTTTTCTGTTTTCTGGCTTGATTGCTTGATTTGTGTATATATATGCATCTGCCGACCTATTTTAACTTTTGGCTTCACTATAACTGACCTTTTATTTTAAAGGTGCATCGTCTTGACAGAGAGAGTAGTGGGCTCCTCCTAATGGGAAGAACTAAAGAGAGCATTTCCTACCTCCATTGGTTGTTCAGTGATGTGAGAAAGGCGAAACCCTTGTCTAAGGTTAGGAATAAGTACAGAAATGACGCAAAGTTCACTTTAAAATATATAAATTGTAATAGAAACTACTAGTGGGTTCATGGATCATTACCTTGATAATAGAAGGATTCTCTGTCTGGGAAACAAAATTTTCAAACAAAATACGAAATAGCATAAAAATAGTAAGAAATGAATAGTCGTCGTTATTTAAATAATTTTTTATTTAGTTAATTACTAGTTGAGCTAAACCCTTTCATTTTGGATAAAAAAAAAGATATCAGTGGGTTGTGTTGTAATTTGAAAGTAACAAATTATTATTATTATTATTATTATTATTATTACTGTTATTGTTATTATTATTATTTGTAATCAGATTAAAATCTCTGTTGATACATTTGAATAGAATTTGATTTTCATTCAAAGTGAAGCCACGATTGTCGACAACCAAATTTGCTTTTGTTTTGGATTGACCAAGCAAAACCTGCATTCCTTTAGATCCAAAAGCGTTTTCGAATTTGTAAATGAAATGTTAGGGAGTTTGTGCATTTTTCAGTTGAGAGGTGAAATTTGAAGAAATTGCAATTAGAACTCCAAGTAATTCATGGTCTTGCTGATATTTTTCCTTTAATTTCTCTCTCTCTCTCTCTCTCTCTCTCTCTCTTTGTGTTGGTTCAAGGATTGGAATGATGCTCGTGAGGCAATGTATCAAAAGTATTGGGCGCTGGTCATAGGTGTACCCAAGCAAAAAGAAGGCATAATTTGTGCCCCACTCACAAAGGTTTTTCCCGCAAAAACTTAATAACACTCTCAAATATCAAAAA